TACTCCAATAAATGTTGGTAGACATATTATAAGACTATAAGTATATAGAGTCTCCAATAAATAGTTGGAGACATATTTATCAGACTATAAGTATATAGAGTCTCCAAATAAATGTTGGAGACATATCTATAAGACTATAAGTATATAGAGTCTCCAAATAAATGTTGGAGACATATTTATAAGACTATAAGTATATAGAGTCTCCAAATAAATGTTGGAGACATATTTATAAGACTATAAGCGTACCCGTAGGTGTCCGAATTTATCATGAAATATTTATAAATTCTTCATCCTTGAATGAAAATGTTTAGTTACCCTTATACAGAGCTCAATTAAACAATATTGGTAAAATTACCAAGTTAGAGTTTTAAACCTTTTTATATGATTTGAGATCTGCATTTAAATGTACTTTCGAATGGTATGACTAAATGATCAGAATTACAAAGTCTCTTTCAGATAGTTAAATCCTGTCCAGTTGAGTTTAAAGACCCTCTATATATACACTCATTAGTTGCTAACCTTCACTCAGAACAATAATAAAAGTTGTGTTCTAAATTAACACAAATATTGTGTTATTTTACAACCCAAATTATATTCTCCAAACACAGGTTTGAGTGAATTGTTACACGATTGCTGTGTTGGGAAGTTACATTTTCATCATGTGTGTGTAGATGGTATGAAATTCAATACAAAGATTGTACATCAATCAACATATTTCTCTTCTGATTTTTTAGCCCAAGAGGATTGTGATGTTTTATTAATGCGAACTTGTGTTGCGTTACAAGTTTTGTTTTGACAGTAAATAACTGGGCTGATGAGAGATTAAATAGTCCAAAACTGCTTAACTCAGTTTATTGTGCATATGTCTAGTATTACGATTGTTGAAGGGTTTAGAAAGTCATAACGTCCGTAAACGATAATTTAGTATCGCTCTGTATACTCAGTACTTTAGGTTAACGATGATTCTGTTCCCCAGATAACGAAGTTATTCTATAATGTATCTGCTCTCGGATCCTCACGTTCTCGAGGAGAGAGAGAGACAACTGTAATTTAGTGTAATTTTGTAAAGGTCTCAGCACTTGAACAAAGTTTATGTTGAACAACTGTAATTTGGTGTAATTTTGTAAAGGTCTCAGCACTTGAACAAAGTTTATGTAGAACAACTGTAATTTAGTGTAATTTTGTAAAGGTCTCAGCACTTGAACAAAGTTTATGTAGAACAACTGTAATTTAGTGTAATTTTGTAAAGGTCTCACCACTTGAACAAAGTTTATGTAGAACAACTGTAATTTAGTGTAATTTTGTAAAGGTCTCACCACTTGAACAAAGTTTATGTAGAACAACTGTAATTTAGTGTAATTTTGTAAAGGTCTCAGCACTTGAGCAAAGTTTATGTTGAACAACTGTAATTTAGTGTAATTTTGTAAAGGTCTCAGCACTTGAACAAAGTTTATGTTGAACAACTGTAATTTAGTGTAATTTTGTAAAGGTCTCACCACTTGAACAAAGTTTATGTAGAACCACTGTAATTTAGTGTAATTTTGTAAAGGTCTCAGCACTTGAACAAAGTTTATGTAGAACAACTGTGATGTAGTTACGGTTCTCTCTTCGTGAGTACAATTCCAACTAAAAAAGAAAAATTGCATTCTTCCAAAAATGCCTTTTACGCTTTGCACTGAAAAGAATAAAATTATTTATTTTCTTGTGATGCCTAAACCAACAAACATAAAGTTTTTTTTTACAAGAATCTTAAAAAAAAGTAACATTATTTATGTCAAAGTTGTTACATGTTTATAAATATGTTTAAAAACACGCAAAAGCGACAAAATTATTCAAAACTGTGTATATACAACTATTTCACAGACTACAAGTTTATATAGAATAGCTTTATAAACACGAGTATGTGTAATACATGTTAATTTCAACGTAATTATCTTAACAAATCTAGGCCAGGTGGTTAGGGAGCTCCACTCTCAATCTATAGGTTCGAATCCCCGTCCCATCAAACATGCTCGCCCTTTCAGTCGTGAGGGCGTTATAATGTGAAGGTCAATTCACTATTCGTTGGTAAAAGAGTAGCCCAAGAGTTGGCGGTGGGTAGTGATGACTAGTTGCTTTCCCTCTAGTCTTACACTGCTAAATTAGGAACGGGTAGCGCGGATAGCCCTCGTGTAGTTTTGCACGAAATTCAAACAAATAAACTTAAAATTCATATATTGCTACCTAGTTAAAGTGTTAATTAGCTAGGCTATAAAGGCGAAAGGGAAAAACCGATCTACAGGGGTAGGGCTCTGTTCTGACTATGAAATTTTGAGCGTAATAGAAGGTTATTGATATTAATAGTATTAAAATTTGTGATACAATTGAAACTTAACTATCTGTGATTGTAAATGATTACCCGAAGCATAACTTTAAATTTAGTCTATAGTATTTTCAATATGATAAAGGGATATTATAAAAAAAGAAAGAAAATAAAACGTACATCGTAAACTTTGTAGTTTTTATAATGCGGGAATTAAAAAGAAAAAAAAGAGGAAAAATATACACTGTTCTCTGTTCAGTTTGCTTATATGATAATACAGCATGCATGTTCAGTTTACTTATATGATAATACAGCATGCATGTTCAGTTTACTTATATGATAATACAGCATACATGTTCAGTTTGCTTATATGATAATACAGCATACATGTTCAGTTTGCTTATATGATAATACAGCATGCATATTCAGTTTACTTATATGATAATACACCATACCTGATCAGTTTGCTTATATGATAATACAGCATACGTGATCAGTTTACTTATATGATAATACACAATGTGGTTTAAAACCGACTAAACGAAATCATATAGAAGTAAAAAAACTCGTTAAGTCTGCGTGGCAAAAATTATCATTTAAAAACATTATTTACGGAAGTAAATATACTAAAATACGCGATATTTGAAGACGTGGTTTGTGGAACCCACTGCTGCTTCAAGCACTGCCATAAAAGTATTTCCGCTTTTGTGAAGAACAATGAAAAATTCCCTTTTCAAAAGGTGTCTTTTGGTTTTTAAATCATTCAACAACCTCGCAGTTTGAGTATTTATTTTAAAATAACTTTTACCTTTTTTTCCAATCATAATTCTTTTTGTGGTGCCATTTCATCGTCTAGTGGTGTGTACCGTGTTTTTCGGAATATAAGACGCACCCTTATTTTGAAGACAAAGTTTTTGAAAAAAAAAGCTACAGTCGCATTTGAAAGATTTTATTGAACAAAAATTCAATTTGATACTTTAAGAATTAGTATATATTGTTTTTAAAGCTCAAAACATCAAAATACCATAAATAAAAAAAAATGTTTCCTGTTATTTAGTCTGGTTCAAAACCTACAAAATTTTTATTGCTTTCACTGTAATTTTTTATTATTATTTAGGGAATATTATAAATAGTTATGCTTTTAAAAGAAAAACTATTATTGTTATAAATAACACATTCAATTGAACCAAACTATGCATGTCTATTTAAATATATTTACACATGGCTTGTGTATATCGTATATATACATATATATTATTCATACCTTCGGTGTTTAGGACGCAAGCAGATTTTGACATCAAATTTTAGGGTAAAAGAGTGCGTCTTATACACCGAAAAATACGGTAATTTGTTGTGAATCAAATATATGTCCATGCCAGACATGTTGCTCGTTGCGCCTCGGCTCAATTCCACAGCGACACAAAGAGTAATACAATATGTAAAATTAACAGTCTACAATATTTTCATTGAAACTTAAAAATATTTCTTAATAACTTAATGTATGTGCAAAAATATTTATTTTAATTGACCATGCAAATATTATTATCTAATAAAGTAAGAAATAAATAACACCTTGCTATATAAAAAATACACACTTTTTTAATTATACCTAATTCACTAGTACTTGCTTCATTGTAAGAAGTTTGTTTATTTGTTTCGAATTTCTGCGCTAACCGTCCCTAATTTAGCTGTGCAAGACTAGAGAGAAGGCAGCTAGTCATCACCACCCACCACCAGCTCTTGGGTTACTCTTTTACCAACGAATAGTGGGATTGACCGTCACATTATAACGCCGCTACGGCTGAAAGGGCGAGCATGTTTGGTGTGATGGAGATTCGAATGCCGGGCATCATTGTAAGTAGAACAAAATTGTTAATCGTTGCTGTAAACCCAACTTATACAATCTGAAATGGTTGAATTAATATAGTTGTCTATTTCATGCATAGAATTTGTA